GGCCATCAGAAAGCGCGCGCACAGGGAAAAAGAATGAGAAATGTGCACAAGCTTGTGAAGTTGTGAGAGTGCGTTTGTAGGACACACGTACGCACACACACACACACACACACACGCACACACACATGACACACACACACACACACACACACACACACACAGCACACACACTAACACACACACGCGCGTAGACACACACACACACACACACACACACACACACGCGCCGCGGACGCCGCGCGCACACACATACACACACACACACACACACACACACACACACACAGCACAACACACACACACACAGCACACACACACACACACACACACGACAACACACATACACACATACAAACCACACACACACACACACACACACACACACACACACAACACACATACAACACACAGCACACACACACACACACCACATCACACATACAAAACACACACACACACACACACACAACCATACAAACACACACACCACACACACACACAACAACACACACACACACAAACACACACCACCACACACCACACAACCACCACACACAAACACACAACACATCACAACACACTACACATACAAACACACAGCTATACACACATACGACTACACACACACACACACACACACACACACACACAACACACACACACACACACACACACACACACACACACACACACACACCACCCCACACACACACACATATACTATATTATATATTTATATATATATATAGAGAGAGAGAGAGAGAGAGAGAGAGAGAGAGAGAAGAGCAGAGAAGAGAGAGAGAGAGAAGAGAGAGAGAGAGAGGAGAGAGAGAAAGGAAAAGAGAGAGGGAGGGAGAGAGAGAGAGAGAGAAGAGAGAGAGAAAGAGAGAGAGGAGAGGAGAGAGAGAGAGAGAGAGAGAGAGAGCGAGAGAGAGAGAGAGAGAGAGCGAGCGAGCAGAGAAGGGCAAGACAGGCGGGCAGTCAGTCAGTTATAATTAGACACGCACACACGCGCGCGCGCACACACACACACACACACACACACACACACACACACACACACACCATAATAACACACACACACACACACACACACACACACACACACACACACACACAATACAAACACACACACACACACACACACATACAAACACACAGCTATAATACAATACAACTATACACACACTTTCTACGCACACTTTCTCTCCGCACACACGCACGCACGCACGCACACAGCACGCACAGCACGCACGCACGCAGCACACACACACACACACACACACACAAGCCTATATAATATACTCTAATTAGTTTTGCCAGATTTATAGCCATATATAGTCTATAATAATATATGGTCATTGTTATTTGTTATCTTGCGACTGTAATTCCTAAATTACACTATCACATTTAAGCTCCGAAAACGTTTTGTGATAAGTTGTAGGAACTTGGTATGGGTTTCTCCAATTTCCCAGAACGTGAAATAAGCGTTGCAAAAACGTTGCCGCATCGTTGCCCATAACGTAAAAATGACGGTTTGCCAAGATTTCAGCTTCGATGTTTGATCAGCAGAGCGATCGAGGCCATGCGCGTGTTCAGGCAAGCCTACCAGAGGTATTTTTTTCAAACAAAAAATCACGTGTAGGTTTGGGTGTAGGCATAGGGTTAGCTTGGCTAGATCATTAATTTAAAAGTTGTAATTGTTGTTGTAAACTGTAATTTTGTTCGCGTAATTTATTACGTTCATTTTCGGGTTTACCTAACTAATACCTAAGGCTTACAGCTACAGTATTACTTAATATTATTTAGGGAAATTTGGGGGCAGTTCCCACCGAGAACAATATATACAATATGTGCAATATATACAATATAGTTATATACAATATGTATATATGTTCTCAGGTTCCCACCATGCAGAGGTGGTTATACGCACGAACATTTTCAAGAATCCAAACTCAAATAATTTACCTATAAAACTTACAAAAAAATAATATACTGCTTCAGTGCTAGGGATCTTGGACGTAGTTAGAATAATATACGTATATATATATATATATATATATATATATTATATATATATATATATATTAGTAGTATAATTATTATGTAAATACAGAAGCGATTTCTATGGGATTTGCAATTTGCGATTATCTGCGTTACTTCTTTGTCGATAGAGGGCGACACGTTTGCGCTATACCAAAACAAGAGAAGTGAGATTGGAGATGTTTTCTGAGAGGAATTACCTCCGAAATTCTGCTTCATTCTTCTTGTTATGGGTGTTCCGGTATATTTAGTGTCTTTTTATGTGTTGCTGGCTATATCTCAGTCAGTCCAGGCGAATCTTAATCTGTTCATGAACAAAGATGAAGTAAAGAAACTGCTGGGTAAGTTGGGCCAACACTGTCTCCCGGTTAGATAGGAAAAGAAAGGGCTTATGCAGGATGCGTTACATGATCGCATACACTGATACAGGAGGACTCCAGCGACACTAGACTAAGACAAACGTAGACAAATAACGATACTGAAGCCATATAGGGGATAAACCTAGCTTTTGTACATGGATGGTAGTGTGTTACATCCTCCATACAGCCTACCTAATAAAATATGCCACTTATTCTCTAGTCTAACAAACTCAATTTTCTGAAGAAGTGACAGGGCTTTAAACTGACACTAATGTTTTCGTATTTTCTCCGCCGTTCTGATACTTGCCTGTACTCCGTGTGTAACACCAAGTGTATATGGTAAAACTAACATGTTATAAAACACTCGTACATCATTCTTTTCACCAATATGTACACCGATCTGCATTTCAGATTAGATTTGTTTACATATGTCAACAAAACAATATTTTCGCTTTCCCGAGATGCAATCGACCAGTAGGCTTACCCTGTCTCTACACTATGTTACCTTTTGTCTACATTTTGAGATAGGTACTAGTCTATAAAAATTTGCATCTTGTTTTGTCGGCCTGTTTGAAAATTTCATTCCCGCGAATCTCAAGTTCAAGGTTGCAGGTGCATGTTTGTTGTTCATTTAGCATTTTATAGCCCCCAACAGCCCAAACTTGTAATATGTTTTATGATGAAGTTATTCAGTAATCTGTACACTGACAGACCTGTGATACTAAATTTGTGTTCATAATAATATATAATTTTGCAATTTATGCATGAAATTATCATTTTAATGTTAGAGTAAAATAGTGAGGGTAAAGCTGGGTTTACACAATGGGGAAATTTGCGAGATGATGGGTTTTTCTGCATTCTATCAACCTCTCTATCTGATGTTCAAAGCTTGTACGTTATCGACCGCGAGTCGGCAAGCGTTTCAACATTTTAAATCCTGCAGTGTGCGCACGGAGCGCTATGGATAAGCATTTTTGCATGTATTAATTCGCGCCAGTGTGTCGCCGATAGTAAAGACGTGCTCTCCCCTTGGGTGGAGGGACACACCTCTTGATTGCTGTTCTGTACTATGGCAAAAACGTTCAATTCGCCGACACCGAGTTGCAAAAATAGAACGTGTTCTAATCTCGCCACCAGTTGATATTAACCAGTTATTTGCGAGACTTTTACGTTTGCACTGCAAATTTTCGGTGGAATGATTGAAAAATTGATAAAATTCGTCAATTTTTCAGCAAAAAGTCGATAGTGTAAACCCAGCTTAAAATGGATTTTAAACGGATACAACACCCTAGAATTTTAGGGTATGTTATGTTAGTACGTGCATAAATAATAGTTTATAATTATACCTAGATGTACAAATTTATATAATCACGCATTCACATTTGTCATTTTAAAACAACAGTGAGTTTCGAAATCGTTATTTTTGGCCACTTACATGACACCTCACGATTGTGCTGCCATTCTGACAAAGTTGCGTTTTTTCCGATTTATTTTGCACGTTACAGACCGAGGGCTAATCACAAAAGTGCAATTATATAAATATAATTTGTAATATAAATTTATAATATAATGCAAATAGCATTAGCTGACTGCTAATGCTATTTAACCGAACAATATTTAGTTTAGGAAAAATTCGTCCATATTATAACTGAATGTAAAAGTTGATTATAAGTAAACTTTTACATCATAATTCAACTTACCATGTAAGTGAGCACAATATAAACAAACATATTTCAATCATTGTATATTTTTGGGAAAATAGTGGTGTGCGAGTATTCTAAGACATGTTAGCCTTGCTTTAGACGCTTGCCGTTATGCAAGCAATACCACTACCAGTAAGTACTTAAGTGGTCTGAAAAATACGAAAGCAGTCACTGTCAGGAAGACTGTTTGAAATCCTTTCTTTAATTTGCTATTGCAAACTGGCTATTGCTAGCCAAGATACACATTTCAGATGGCCGCCATGCTTTTCTGCCACCAGCGGCTCGGGCATCCATCAGGACTCTTTTGTTTAGCCAGCAGACAAAGTAAACGAACAATTTCTGCTCCAAAACAAATACGCATTCCACTCCCGCGCAAATCATAGTATTGCTAAAGCAGCACTGTCAACATATAGTTGAAAAGTTGATAAGTTGATGAGTTGATCAACTTTTCAGCATTCTGTCAACCTTTCTATGAGATGTTCAGTGCATTGGCAAACAGATGGTAGCACATTATCAACTGCGAGTTGGCCAACGTTTCTACCTTTCAACTGCAGTGTGCATACGGGCCATCTG